CAAAGGAGCTTGTGGCCCCTATTGTGCTACCGGAGGGTAAAACGGTTCTGGACGTGTTCAGGGTTTGCTTTGACGACAACGCCTCTCTCCTGGAGGAGTATCATACGGCGCGAAAGGACACTAACCAAAAGTGGGAACCATGGCGGCTTGCGAAGACGGGCAGCCCTCGCTTTTCTGGTCAAAGATTGTTTACGTGTACGACGATAATTAGGGCGTTGGTTTCCAAGGCGTGTCCATTTACAGAATACCAGCGTTACGCATTTATGAACATTGGGGGCAAGGAGCCAACCTTGGTTGTGCAGCTTTCAGGGCAGGCCGAGGGTGTTATGTTTGCTGACGCGTTCCGTGCGGAGACGTTGCTGATTTTTACTCAGTTAGGTGCAAGCGTTACAATGCGTGCTTTGGGTCACGTCCAGTTCCTTCGGGATGTGTGGATTAAGGGTAAAATTCTGCGTACTTCGCTCAATACGGAAATGCCAGAATGCTATCGGAAATTGGGGTATATGCTGATAGAACGACTTCAGGGAGATACTCTTGATTCTTTAGGAGTAACGGAACGTTTTGAAGCGAGTCCACCGCTGCAGGCCTCCACTGTAGAGCCACGTAAGGATTCCTCTCACGTATCTATTGTGGTATGGAAGCCTGCAATATACGTTGAGTTTGTATTGGAGGTATTGAGTGTACTTCTATGCATAAATTCATTTCTTCACACGTACTTTTTTACCGCTTCTACACCTGCAATTGGTATTAAGCGTCCTGCGGCTGCCGTAAGTAAGGTATGTCTTGTTTTAAGTGATGTTGAGCAATCATTGAATACTGAGGTATTGTCTTCTCTTTTTATTGATCTACTTCGTCCTTTTTTTCTTGCATCTCTAGTTTGTTTACTATGTGTTATACACGGTTTTATATGTAGGACCCTTGCTCATATGAGGTAACGAAAACTCAAGAGCGAAAACAGAAGCTTTTAAAATCAAAAAAAAAAAAGAAAAGAAAAAGAAACGGGAAAACGGCTAGTTATTTTGCTTATTAAACATATACACCTTTTACTTCTACCGTTGCATTTGAATTTGAGATGTCATTGTTGTTCTTCAATATATATATATATTTCTTTGGTGGGCGTCTATTTGGAATGAGATGAGGAATGGGGGTTGGCACCTGAGGCACCCTCGTCGTATCTAGAACACCAGCAAATATTGCCAAGGGAAGGCATGATTTCAAATAGGAGCGTCAGCGCTCCTCCTAGTAGTGGCAGTTTCTCCTATGATGCAAAACACTTTGGGTACCGCTGGGGGGAGTTGACAGTCGGGAGGTTTTCACAGCCAGCCTCGACAGTGAGCCCTTGGCGCAGCAGCATACCGACAACCACTAGGTATGAGAGGCTCGCTGAGTGGAGAGAGAGCCCATACTACGGCGGAAACTCTTACGAGCCCCAATTTCGCCGCGACCACGGTGCCTACTACAGGCGTACAAACTATGAGTTGCGTCGGAGCCATTCCAGTCATAGTGCTGGCGCTGAGCAGGGACAATACACCTTGTACCCTGCACAGGAGAAGGCGGATCATTTCAAAGCGCATCGTGGTTTTTCTACCCCTGTTTCGTCCCTGGGGACTTCTTACACTTTATTCCAGACACCAAGCCCTTACGACGAGGGGCGTTCTCGTGGAGCTCGCAGCTCGGCCTCTCCTGCCACCACAGGCAATGCGGAGATCCCCCCTCTGCTTGCCGCAGCGATGTCGGAAAAGCAGCTCACACGTGTTCGTGCCTCTCTACAAAGCACCCCAACTCCTTCGCAGAGCGGCGTGAGACTGAAGTTAGTTGAATTGCTGGAGTACTGGATGAGTGACGTCTTAACGGGGGCCGCAATTGAGGAGTTGATTGCAGAGGTCCATCAGGAGGCGGGGCTCAAGGGGAGTCATCCTGCGACGGAGGGGGGAAACAACTCCGCTTTCAGTGTGCGTAACGCCACAGAGACGGCAGGAGCGTGCCGTGCGCGGGCAGGGGAAAAGGGGCGCGCTTTCATCTGGGCAGCGCCGTCTTCACCGTTGTCATCATTGTCTTCGTCGTCGTCGTCCTCCTCGTTGACATCCGTGTCTCTCCGCCGTTCTGAGGCCGAGGAGGAAGGGGTGGCGCCTGAGCCACCGAAAGAAGCAAAAATAAAATGGATAGAGGGGGGGGAGTTTTTTGAGAGGATGCATGTGACCGATGTGACTTCAGCCCGTAATGGAAGTCAAGTTTGCTCTTCGGGCCAGTCTCACGATGTGGAGCCAATGGCAACAAGACCGCCTCCTCGTTCAACGCTAAAGCCAACAACTTTGCCGCCTCAAACAACAGACTCACAAGTGCCTTTGCCAGCTCAGGCGACATACCTGCATATTCCACGTTTTTATTATCCCAACGGCTTGCGGCATTCCGCGGAAGAGACGCTTGTGGGGCGCATCATAAACAAGCACGAGAATCCACATCTTAAAGGTGTGGAGGGAATGCTGATTCCAACTGCCGTTTACACAAACTGCGAGGAGCGAGTTGCTGTCATGGGCAGTGATGAATTCAAGAGGCCTGAGGTTAAAACAACTCCAATCGCTTCACTGAGGGCGCTGGAAGACAAGGATGTTCAGCCATTTATTCAAAATGTATTTGGTCATCTTCCGAAGCTGCCAAATGTTAGTCAAGGCACACGCATTTCGAGTTTTGGTGGGAAGGGATTTATAGGGCTCAACAATGCCGTACAGAACAGGCAAGGATTAAACTACCGACTGCAATTAACGCAGGCAATGAAGCACATTTGTACACAGTGCTTTGGCCTTCCAAAGTACTTTGCCTTCATTTTAGTGAAACTCCTTCAAGCGAACATGGATTTTGGGAGTTTGGGGGCTCAATCTGTACGAAGTAGTTCCTTATCCACTGCATCTTCTGCGATTAGGGAGTCTGATGCGGTTTCTCAGACAGACTGCATGGTGCAACAACTACAGGACTTCTTTGAAAACTGCCTGCGTGGACGTTGCATTATTCGACGTGTGTTTGAAGTATTAATTCTTAGTTCGCGCGTTGCGACAGGTGGGACAGATAAGTCGGCATGGAGCAGTAGCGGGTGGAAGTTTGTGCAGGACGCAGCGAAGGAGCAGCAGAGGTCGTATCTGCTGCCAGGTGACTTTTGCGCGTACATTGAGGTGCTGCTGGAGCATCACCCGGGTCTTCTCTTTCTGAAGCAGACCCCCGAATTTCAGTCCAAGTACCTAGAGACGGTCATCTACCGCATTTTCTACGACCTTGATAGGTTTGACCGCGGTCGTATTACGTACGCTGAGATGGAGTGCTCTTCCCTGCTAGACGCACTGCGGCAGGTGGATGCGACAGACGACATCAACTCGGTTTTACTCTACTTTTCCTACGAACACTTCTACGTGCTCTACTGTCGCTTTTGGGAGCTCGACGAGGACCGGGACATGCTGCTATCCCGTGAGGAGTTTATGCGGTACGCCCCGGCGGGAGTGATGAATCCTGTCATTGTGGCGCGTGTGTTTGGCGGCGCTGCTCGCCGCATGACATGCGTGCGCGAGGATCACATGAACTACGAGGATTTTGTTTGGTTCTGCCTCTCCGAGGAGGATAAGTCGACCCCCACGGCAATCCGCTACTGGTTTCGCATCCTCGACCTGGACGGGGATGGGATCCTCTCCGCCTATGAGCTGCACAGCTTTTACGACGCGACGAGGGCAAAGCTGACAGCCTACATTCCGGACGGGACCGTACCATTTGAAGATGTTCTTTGTCAGATATTTGACATGCTTGCCGTGGAGGTGTCATGTGGGTTACGGCTTGAGGAACTTTTATCGAAGCCAGAAGCGGCGTCGATAGCGCTGAATATGGTCACCAACGTGCTCCGCTTCCTGCAATTTGAGCAGAGGGATCCGTTTGTCACCCACCAGGATCGGCTGGTGGGGGGCTTGGAGCAGTCAGCGTGGGATCGCTTTGCACGCGCCGAGTACGACCGTTTATCCTTTACGCGGGGGAGTGAGTGACACCAGACTAGCTAGACGAATGCAGGTGGGGCAAGGGGTATTTTTCTACGGATGAATGCATATATGTTTGTGTCAGCGATAACCCTCCGTTTCGTCTACTGGTGTTGTTTTGTTACTGAAGAATTATGGTGGTGGTGGTGTGTCGGGGCGTGAGCGGGTGCGATGTCCTCCATGTAGAGAGAAGAAGGGAGGGTGTGTGTGTGTGCGTGTATTTTTCTCCACTGGGTTTTCTCGTATATGCTATTTCTAATTCGTCATGCACGTGACGGTGTTCGCTTGTTTCTTTGTGGGTGCTTGCGTGTGTGTTTCTGTCTGTGCCGCACATCCGTACGCGGAGCACGCTACAACAGCCGAAACACAAACGGAAACATGCGACAAAAAATACGATAAAAAATTAAAATAAGCTGTGGTGGTGATGTGGAATAGCTTTCGCTTTGTTTTTTACCCTGTATGCTTTTATGCCCTTTTACTTGCCGAAGGTTCTACATGCACCTCCATCCTTATCCATATGTATATCTGGACATGTGCACATCCTTTGTGGATGCCATACACCAGGAGGTCAATGCACGTTTTTCTTTTTTCTGTCGTTGTTCTTGTGTTAGGCTTGTTTGTGTTAGGTTTTTCCAAATTGGTCGTGAAACGCCGCGTGAACGCTGCCTGCAGGCTGGTTCCTGCACCTCGTTTATCCCTACGGCTGTTTGCATCTTGTTTTTTTTTGTCGTCCTTTTTTTTTTGTTGTTGTTATTATTCTGTCTTTGCTTTTCCGTGTGCTATTTCCCACGAGACTGTTTTATCGTTGACGGATGGCCTCCTACCTTCTTTCACGCGTGGTCGCTTTTGGAGAAAGGCGGGGGTGGGGATGGGGTAGGGTCCGACACGGCCATCCTTTCGTGACGGTATTTCATCCTCGCCGTGCTGGTTCTTTTCCTCCCTTCTCCTTTTCCGCTCTCCACCAGCACCACCGCGCTTGCCGGAAATCAGCGAGTGAAAAAAAAAGAAGGTGCTTGTGTGTGTGTGTGGTGAAAGGACCTTCTCCCTGAGGGAGCTGCTTGGTGCGTCTCTTTTGGCTTGCCTGCACGGACGTGTATATAATATATACATACACGTAACGTGGCTACTTTGTCTGCATCTTTCTCTTTTCCACTACTGTTGCTGCTTGTCTGCAGTTTTTCTCTTGTTAACCATTCTCATTTCTGCTGCAAAGGAAGAACAGAGCAGTGTGTGCGCCCGGTGGCGCCGTGCGATCGGGACGAAAGACGCCGAGGAAGCAGTGGTTGCACTCATTTCACCTTCGATTTTTTTTTGCCCTTTTTTTTTTTCGGTTCTTCATCAGAACGGTGGAGTAATTCTCTGCGAGGAATTAGTGTTGAGTAGAGAATGCGGACGGTGCGGTTTTCGCTCAGCGCAGCAGCGGCCTCCGCACCACCACCGCTGATGAAGGAAGCCGGAAACGTGGCTGGTGTCGCTGCGGCAGCCGAGAAACCACGACGGGCGTTTGCCCCACTACGCATTCACCCGTGGCAGCGAGGCTGTCTAGAGGCGTCGCGCGATCAGCTGCTGCCCCAGACCCTGCTGTACCACGGAACCCATCTGGGTCCGCGTCCACTCATCATCCTCGACCACACTACGAAAAGTCCCGCGGAAGCAGCGGCGGCGGCGCAAAAGTACGAGGCCGTGCTTTCTCAGCTATCGTGGGAGTACGGTGCCGTGTACATTCCACTGCAGGTGGACTACTCGGAGACGACCAAGGGCCTTATAGAACACACGTGCCAGCAGGTGTGTGCTGTCATGGACGTGCTAGATGTGCGCTGGACGCATTTTTTAACACACTCCTATGGCTGCCTCGTCGCTGCGTACATGGCGGCCTCAGAGGCGTTTCCGCACCGCATTGGCACCTTCATCTCGCTTGATACACCTCTAGTTACTCGGGCGTTGGTCCAGAACATGCAACAGCGGGAGGAAATTGCCAAGGCGGAGCGCAATGTGAATGTCCCTGAGGCAGACTTGTCATTTGCGAAGCACAGCTTGCTCTCCTCGTTGGAGGGACCGCTGCCGTGCCCCGCCGAGTCAGACACGGGTTTGTATAATGACTACCTCTTTAACCCAGCTGGGATATTTCACGCCGACGGACTCGTGCGCTGCGAGGAGCGGTATGTGCCGGTGAAGCACCTTGCAGAAGTGCGTCACCCAATGCAGTTGGTGGTTCCCGCAGGCAACACCGTGGCAGATGTGGCGGTGCACAAGGAGTTTTTTGGTCTTCGGCGTCCTGTCGTGCTGAAGGGATGCCAGTGCCACGAGGAGCTTTTCCACGACGAAGGGGCGAAGGAACTCGCGAAGGTTCTCGAGACATGGCTGCAGCGGTTTGAACCTGATGCATACCTTGCGAAACGGTACGAACAGGCCGCGAGGGAGATGTCGCAGCTGATGATGAGCTCTGTCCCGGCCTCGGTAAAGGCGGACGGCGCTGAGGGAGGCGGCGAACAGCGGAAGAAAAAGAAGGAAAAGAAGAAAAAGGCGTAGCTGTGTGTATGCAGCAGCCCCGTGCGAGTGTGTGTGGAACCGCCACCTGCGAGGCTGGTTGGGGACAGGAGCGATGTATCGTTGCCACCACTGTCTTTGTTTTTTATTATTTATTTTTGCACCGGTGGAGTTGTAGGAGGAATGCGGGGCATGCGTCGGTGTCTGGTAGTGGCGTTCGCTGGTTGCACAGGCATGGGGGTGGGGGGGGGCGAGTGAAATGAAATGGGCATCATCGACACCTGTACACGTTGCAG